TGTTATATTAAAATATATAAAATGTTATATTAAAATATATAAAATAGATACAAAATTATTATACTTTATAGTATGTTGTTTCTATTTCACTGTAATATTTCACTGCACATTTCATTGAGGAACGCTGTCCATAAACTAAAATGCCTGTCTTATTTAATTCTCTCAATATCCCCATAGTACTTCGTAGTACTTCGTTATTCGTTGTCTTTTTCACGTTGCTATAACAATGCATTATCGTGCATCATCCGTAAAACTTTGAGACGCGAAGTTCATTTTTTGCATTATTATATAGTTTTCTTCCTAAAATTCAAATCGAAAAAAGCGACCATACAATGTTGAAAAGACAAAGTGAATTAATAGTAAAAAGCAATAAAATTAAAATAATCACTATATGAATTCAAAAAGAAGATATAATAAAGATCAATGTATCAATAGTAAAATATCCAGTCCTATTTATTTAAGCTTTCATTTCTTTGAATTGTCTTATTTTTGTTCTTAGAATGTCTTTGAATTGTCCTATTTTTGTTCTTAGAATATTTTACAATTAGACAACATTTACTTTTATGTCAGACTTTTTATGATAATTCTTAAGAAGAGAATAACAAATTGAGTCATAAAGATAAAAAAATTCTCAATATCCTTTCGCTATTTTTGTTATGTCACTATCGTGATATTCATTTCCAATATTCAAACCAATATAAGTCTTATTTTAATGTCTTCGATTTGTAACAGAATATGACAAGAACAATTTTGCTAAAAATATCTAAGATTTTAACTACACATGAGCACATGCTGGAAAAAACATTTCGTATTAAATATTTCATATTAAATTAATATAATTTTTTAAATTGTATATTATAATTCCGACAAGATATTTAATAACACAGCAAAACACACAAAAGTTAATATTTAATTCGGAGATTAGTATTCTTATGTATTTTAATGCTCCGAAGCTGAATCCAAATTGCTCTATTATACACACAATTTTTTATCAATGAAAAGTAGCTTGATTTTCCAGTTTTCTAATGCTACTTATAACCTTCTTTTGCAAGCTGAATAAATAAACGCAACAAAGTAAGTTCAACGATAATATCCGAGCTTATAAAGTTAAATATGCATGCTGGTAGCATAATGTACTTTAAACAATATTGCTAATGAATCAACGTCACCTCTTGCACGATTACACATTAATACTTTGTGGCTCTTGATAATATAAATATACATAATTATGTCTTATTTTTCATTGCACTGTTATCCAGCATTTTTCTACTTAATTTATTTTACGTATATTTATTTTACTTTACTAATTGTCGTAACTATTAGTCTACTCGTACTGCTGTTTTTTGGCTTTTTCACATTGCTATAAATATAAACACATATATATCACTTAATGCATCGTTCGTAAAACTACGTGGCGATGCAATAATTTTTTGCATTTCAAAGTTCATTCAACGAAAATTATTACTTCAGACAATGCAAATTATTGAAAAAGAATAAGTCTTCAAAGGGAAGAAACAGACGAGAAGATAAATTAATAATGAGCACCTATAAGGAAAATTGGAGGACGTTGCACTTGTTTAAATATTCATAAACTATTTAGCGATACCGTGGGAGGGCCATACGAATTCGTTTCTTCGAACGAGAAATTGCACTCCCGTAAAAAAATACAGACATTAATATCTGAAATATTTAAGAGTGCCCGTACTTTGCACCTTAACACGTGCATTTCAGAACTTTTTCCGTGAGCATGCGTAATTGCCATGCTCCCTGTGAAGCAAGAGAGTATGCTGAATTAATAAAAAAAAATGTCAGTCTCCGTTTAGTCTTGGACATGGACAGCTCTAAATTGAGATATACTGCAGGTGTCTATTTTATTTTCATATCATTATCGCTAAGTTTCCTATATCAATAAATATATAAATTGTTTTTAGTGATGTACATTGATATAAATTTATATATTTTTATTAAAGCATATGAGAATTCGTGAAACTTTACAATGAACTGTTGTTGATAGTTTAAGATACTGTTTTCTTATCAATATAATAGAGTAAACAGTAGGTTTTGTTTAAAGATTGAACAATGCGAAAACAATTTTCATACAAAACATACTTCGCTGTCCATCTGGAAAAATTTACCGCAAAACTTTACGAATTTTATTTCATTGTTGTTTAGCTAATTAATTATTCCGAAAATTTAAACCCATTACAAGTATAATTTGGTTTTCAATTAACTTGAGCTACACGATGTTACTAACAAAGAACCTGTCACAACTGTCCGGAACAGACTCGATTCTCAAAATATATTATTAAACGCAAAAATTTGAAACATTCGTATTCTTTTATATTATTTTATGTCATTATTTTTTATATTTTGAACAGTGATGCTTGTGATCCCTTGTAAGATTTATTTCCACGAAATGTTACTAAGATTATAATCCATATCTCGATTTCATCAATAACAGCATGGTAATTAAATAGACTTAGACTGGGCGATCGGAATAAATCGGATTTCTTTGAAGATTCTCGGTCTCTGGCCAGATGATAAGTTAAGTCGTCGACAAAAATTTTTGGCTGATCTACGCGCTATTATTATTTTTACTACGATGCTTTGTGCAGCGGTTATACCCGGAATACTAGCGTTGTTGAGAGTCTGGGGTGATATGGTAGCAATGGCAGACAATATGCAAATCGGTCTGCCATTCTCAGTGACCGTCTTGAAATTTATCATAATGTGGTTTCATAAAAAAGGTAAATCTTTCTTTCTACACCGATTACCGTTTTATTCCGTAATATTTTATCTATTTCTCGAAGCGTCAATTCGATAAATTATATACTTTTACATTTTCCAAAGATCTTGAACCGGTCATAAATATGATCGTAAAAGATTGGCTCAGGACAAAAACAGTGCAAGAACGAGACACTATGATAAAACAAGCGAGAATTGCAAGAATAATGGTCATGTTCGGATGTACCATGATGACCTTAGCGTGCATTATTCTCATCATTCCTCCCTGCTTTGGATATACTACAAGATATTTGACGAATCTGACAGACCCGGGAAGACCCATGCTAGTGCAAACATATTATTTACGAGACATAACGGAGACCCCATTATACGAAATTGTGATCTCCGCCCAAGCTATATCGATCTTAATGGCCGCGATTTCTTATACGGGCATCGATACTTTTTTGTGTTTGCTTGTGTTTCACATATGTGCCCAAATGGAAATTCTCAAAGAACGATTTCTCAGTTTGAACAACTTCAAAGACTTCGATATCGGATTATCCTTCAATATCAAGGATCATCTTCGTCTCATTAGGTTGTATTAAGCTCGATTTATAATACTTTTACGTGTATAATACTTTTTACATTGCTGTGTCACTTTTATTCAAATAATATAAAAAGGACTAAGGAAGTATGACAATTTGGTTGAAGTTTAAACATTGTTGAAACATATTGCGCGTGTAAAGAAAGTTCGAACACATTTATGTAAAAAAGTGAATCTACTTCCCGCCGACTCATAGCCAAAAATATAAAATAATGTTTTCCATTTTGTGCAAACGAAATAAACATTATGCGGATTTTATCTATTTCTGAAAGAAGACCTTCTGAAAATGACTCTTAAAAAAGGTTGCGCATTGCTGATTTACATTTCGATTATTATTATACATATATTACTTGTAATACGATAATAATTACTGTATAAATTTGTGATAAATCCACACAATACTTTTACATGGCATTAATTTCTTATATGTATATCAAACGAATACATCATTTGCAACCCAGAGAAAAACAAAAATAGGATTGATGTCGATTATGTCTAATTGACATCGAATTGATTTTTATTTCTCTCTGGAAAAGTAAAGATATATATTCTCCGAGACTTTTCATTTGATCGGAATCCGATGTTACAATATACGATATCTTAAATCGTAGGTCTGTTGATATTATCGACAACACATTCAATTTGATGCTTCTGACACTATTAGTGTTTTTCGCTATGTTATTTTGCCTACAAGGATTTCTGATAGTTAATGTAAGTTGGCGAATGAGTTAGTTAGTTAATATAATAACTTCAAAAACCCTTTTTGAAGTTATTATATTTCTCGAAAATTATTTTAAAAAATCGTACACAGAACAATTAAGAGTCAAATTCAACTGATTTAATTTAATTTGCATTTTACTAACTACGCTTGATTTTTATTTTTCCTATAGGATTTTCTTAGTAATTTTTAAATATATCGAGAGTTTTTTATTTGACATATTTTTTTTATATGATGGAAGCGCAGGAATAGTGAAAAGATCTTTAATCGCGATATACTCTTCTCACCAATTCCCCATGCAAATTATACATAATCATCCCAAAGGAGAAGAAAGATATTAAAACATGAGTTTCTCAAATAAAAACATCGATAGAAAATATATTAACGTGTCTAGATTATTGACGGAGGTGGTGAAGGTGTTTCCATTATGCGAATATGTTGGCTCGTTTCGATTCTTATCAATACATTCGCTCACATGTGTCTGTACTGCGTAGTGGGAGAGATTCTTATAGCCAAAGTAAGTGCTTATTGTAAAAATAGTCAGTACAATAAAGTTGCAGCGCTTTTTTTATTAAATTAAAACAATTTCTAGATTTATCGTCTTAGCACAGAAGATAAAAAAATCTTTTCTTATTCTCGATTTATGAAATGAATTCCTGTTTCATTCCATTTTCATTTTAAAAGTATTCCTGAGGGTTTCAAAAAATTTGATTTTTAAATTGCCAATTGTGAACTCTTTTTTTAGATTTAAAAGAAATTTAATCTTTTTTTTGTCTATATGAATTCGTAATAAAAATTGAAATAACTTTTAATATTCTAATAGAGAGAGTTATAAGAATAAAAGACTTTTATAGAATTATATTCTTTATTGATTGGGAAGGTATGTTTTTGTTCATTTCAAACAGATTACATTAATAAAGAACTTAAAAAGGTAAATATTTGTTGAATTTAAATGAATTAGTCGTGCTATCGTAAAAATCACTTTTGAATTCGTCATTTATATAAATAAATAATGGGAATATAGAGTTTATGATATAACAATATTTACAGGGTGAAGGAATATTTTATGCAGTGTATAACTATACGTGGTACTTGAGGACACCAAAAGAAGCCAAAAACCTGATGCTTATAATGATTTGTGCCGAAAAACCTCTGTACATTACTGCGGGCAAGATATTTCCCATGACATTGTCCATGTTTTGCAGTGTAAGGTGTTTGTAAATTCATCTTATACGTGCCCGTATAAATGTTAACTTAATTGATAATTAATTATCAATTAATCGAATCTAATCTCGGCAGGATTTTATTAATATAAAATTAAATTATCTCTGGTTATATTTTTTCTTGTTTGATACGTGAGAAAAGAAATTAAAGCTTAGAAATAAATTATAATAACAAATTATAGTCAGAAGTTTTACTGCAAACATTAATGATTAAATTAATTATCAATTAAGAAGTTAATAGAAATTTAATCTAAATCCACCTTCATAAAACCAGTTATATATTCATGTCGGTTTATTGTATAATTATTTAATCGCGCATTCGTACTATCATCTTATCTCTAAATAAATGCGGTGTTTTATCAAAATTTAATAATTAAATCAAATTTATTTAGAGTCGCATACATTAAAAACTTAATATCTAATTTGTTCCATTTTTCAGTAATTTAGGTCATGTCTAACATGATACATTTATCTTCTTTTTCAGTTAATAAAAACATCGGCTGGTTACATATCCGTATTACTTGCTAATCGATAATTCTTTGATAAATTGATCAGAAACTTAATGAGGACATCACGGGCGATTAAAAGAAGCAAACTATTTAAATGAACAATCTGCTGCAATTATTTTCTCATCTTATTTATTTATTGTATATTTTTGAATGGATTGTTATTATAAAAGAAAAACATATTTACATATATAATCGTTAATAAAAATATAAAAAATTACAGGATTATAATTATCGATAAATATATCAAGTATATAAGCTTAAATCTGCTGTTTTTTAGTCAGAAAAACACATTTTTTTTCCTAGGAAGCAAAAACAAATTTATTCAAAGTACTTGCCCTCGCTAACTATACATCTTTCGGGCAATTTGTGTATACCACACCAAAAAAATTCCTCATCTTTCGAGGCAAACCACTCATCAGCCATTTTCGGACGTCTTCGTAAGAATCGAAGTGCCGCTCAGCGAGCACGTGGCCCATCGACGAAAACAGGTCATAGTCAGAAGGTGCCAAGTCTGGTGAGTAAGCGGGATGGGGTAGCACTTCCCAGTTGAGTGTCTCCAAGTAGTTTTGGACCATTGTTGATGTGTGCGATGGTGTGTTGTCGTGGAGAAAAATCAGCTTGTCATGTCTTTTCCGATAATGCGGTCTTTTTTTACGCAGAGCATGGTGCAATTTGATCAATTGTTGGTGGTAGCGGTGCGCATTAACAGTTTCACCAGGTTTTAATAGCTCGTAATAGATGACACCCTCCTGATCCCACCAAACGCACAGCATCGTCTTCCATCCGAAGCGATTTGGTCTTGAGGAAGATGTTGATGGTTGGACGGGATCAACCCAAGATTTCTTTTAGGATTCTGAAAATAGATTCACTTTTCATCGCCTGTCATAATCCGATGCAGGAACGACTTTCTTTTTTGTCTCGCAAGCAGAATTTGGCATGTGTTTTGGCGTCGCTCTATCTGCCTATCGTTCAGTGCGGCACCCATTTTCCGTTCCTTTGAACCTTCCCCATGGCATGTAGCCGCATGGAAATGGCTTGAGAAACACCCAATTGCTCGCCAAGCATTTTTTGCGATTGGGTATCGTCCTCGTCCAAAAGAGCCTGCAATTGACAGTCCTCAACCTTCCTGGACCGATTTTCACGCTTCTTGTCATTCAGGTCAAAATTGTCGTCATTGAATCGGCGAAACCAATCTCTGCACGTTGTTTCTGATAAAGCATTGTCGCCTCCACAAACATTCGATGCGATTCGGCAGCCGATTTCTTCAAATTGAAACAGAAAAGCAAAGCTTCTCGCATATGCTTTTTTTTTAGCAAAAAACTAGACATGATTACGAAAGAAAAAATGTAATTGCTGATGATGTGCACTGATTAATGTTGATAAATGTCAAACACATAAAAAAAAGTGTGTTGTGTGCCCAGGGTAGCTTTGTACGCTCACTAATGCCACCTATGAGCAAACAACAGATTTAAGCTTATGCACCCTAATGATGTTATAATTACAAATTTTAAAAAATTAATAAAAAAAGATTATAAACAAAAGGAGACGATAGACAATTAGAGCTAAAATTCTTTTGTCCTCATTAGTCAAATTTCAATCTTCAATTTCAATCTACAAAGTGTAATCTGATTCCGATCTTATTACCAATCATTACCAATGCTGGAAATATATAGTCCACGTAACGTATACTGTACATTATCAGTACTGATGATGAATGAATCCTAAGCTCATGGCACACACAAGAACATAAGACAGTAAAACATAAACGAATTGATTAATCACCAAAGACCAAAAGTAAAGATCAAAAGGTAAATAACAAATCCATTCTTGCGTTTTACTGCCTTAAATTTTTCTATACGCCATGGCCACTTTAGCAGTTGGAAAGCACTAGAAACCACTCAAAAAAAGTGCAATTAATATTTTAGCGCGTAGACAGCGTGGACAGGCGATATTATATGATTTATGAATGTTCTGTCGGTTCTGCTTGTTCAGTACGCTTGCGTAAGATGAACCTCAGCGCTCTCTTCAGTAATTTGTCATTTTCAGTTGAACTTCCAGTTTTATCTTTTCTCTCCTTCTCTCTACATCGGTTATGTTCGAATTTCCATCCGACTGCTCCTTCTATATCATTTTATTCTTGTTCAACATTCAGTGAACAACAAAGTTACACGAATAAACATTGAAATCCTAATCCTTGGTCTTGGAGAGAAAAGGAGGCAATATGAATGGTGCACGAAGTTCAGCCGAAAAGAACAGACTTCTGCACTATCAGCAGCAAAGGACGACGAAGAAAACGCCGACGATTTCGAACGTTCTAGTATTTCTGATGCTATGTAATAGTCATTGGCCGGCTTCCTTCAGAAATTTCCCCAAATCTCTATTGACATATTATTTTATCTTGTTTAACATTCAGTGAACGACAAAGTAATATTTCCTGAATGAATTCCCGCGTTTTTGTCGGGTATTCTTCGTCTTGAATCGGATTTCTGAGTCATTAAATCGTGCAACAAGTTGTGGTATTCTATAGTATATCTATATTATATATTCGAAAAGAAAGAAGAAATATTCTTGCAGAAATAAGTACTGTAAGAGAAGATCCTTAGCTTAAATCAGAGGAAGGAAGGAAGACGAATTGATTGATTGAATTGATTGACAAGGAATTTTTCGACGGAAACTTGAAAAATGGCGAAAAGCATGAATTCCTTGATGGATGGTTTTAAGATTGGGTATATAAGAACTATGTATTAATAAACTTACATGCATGTGTTAAGCTAAATTTTTCATATTTGTTGTATTATTCCAGGGATTTGATGAATAAAGATGGAATGATGTTTGAAATTGGAAGTGATGATGTTAATAACAATGAGGAGGATGAAGAATTTTCATATTCTTCACATGTACAATTTAGTAATGAAGAGATGTTAAATATGTTAAACATGAATGATTTTGAAGATGAAGAGGAGGATGAGAAAGAAACTGTATCACTCTGTGGTATAAGCTTTTCAAAGCTGAAAACAAAGATGACGAGCTTAATTCCAAATGGAAAAGTTAATCAGATTTTATACTATTTTGTATTTTTCTACACAGATAATATTATCTTTTATATCTGATTTTATCGATAAGTTTGTCAATACAGTTAAATGAAATCATGAATGTAATTTTACAAACAACTTAATATAAAATTGTTATTAGGTCATGAAATATGTTAAACAGAAAGGTACTGGAGAACTTATACCAAATAATGCTCAAGCGATTATCCATTATATTGGATATTTTGAATACAGAGATGAGCCTTTTGATTCTACTTACTCTGTTGGGAAACCAAGATCATTGCGTTTAGGCCAGAGTTTTATTATACCTGGTTTAGAAATTGGTGTACGTTCTATGCAAAAGCATGAAATAGCAGTATTTTTGATACATCCTGATTATGCTTACAAGGCTGTTGGTTGTCCACCACGTATTCCACCTAATGAAGAAGTGGTCTTTGTTGTTCATTTAGTTGATTATATTGATGATGGCTGTGCGCAAACATATCAAAATCTTACCGACGAGGAGAAACAATTATTTAAATATGTGGTACAGCCTGTGAAACATATGTTTGTGACTGCCAAAGGTTATTGTACAAAATTTAACTACAAACAGGCGATACGAGAGTAAGTAACTGATATTATAAAATTTTTATAAATATGCAGTCATATTTCTTAAATATGTATTTTTTGTAGATATAGAAAAATTACTGATTGTTTGGAATCAGTCAAGTTAAATGATGATTTAGAAGAAAAAGAAATGAATGAATTACTCTCACGAGCTTATACCAACCTTGGAGTTTGTCATAACAAGGAAAACATGCCTACTAAAGCTTGCTTAGCTTTAAGGAAAGTTGCAAAACCAACAGCTAAAAGCTATTATCAGTATGTATTTTTTATCAGTATGTATTTTTTTATTGATTTAACTGCTTAAGTATAAATATATTAAATCAGTATTATAATAAATTTTTTTTCTTGTATTCCAGGTATGGAAAAGCTTTGCTGAGTATTGGAGAATATAATGAAGCAATGAACGAGTTCCAGAAAGCTTGGGTGTTAGAACCGCACAATGATTCTATTAAAAAAGCAATTCGGACAGTAAGTTGCAAATTTTTTACAAAATAATTTTGTTGTAACAGTATAATCTTTTTATCTCATTTTTTTTTTTAGACAAATTTGAAACAGCGTGAGTATCTGGAAATAGAGAAACGCTTGTGGAAAAATTGCTTCAGATCCAAGGAAGAACAAATAAAAGTTAATGAATTTCGAAAAGCCGCTCGCGATTTGTGTGAAAAATTTATCAATAATAATGATGTAGTGAGACAAAATCTCTCGGAGGGTTTTACAAAAGAAGAATATGAAATTATACGTGAGGAAGCAGCTATATTAGGATTAAATGTTGTTACGTCTATTAGATATGGCAAAGAAACTGTATTTCTTCAAAAAAGCAGATCATAAAATTACATTACTGTTATTTAAAATTGTAATAGCCAGAATTCTTTAATATACATTCTAGTATTGCAATTCTTATAATCGTTGATGTATAATCATTGATGTATAATAATTAATATATTACAATAATGCAAAGTTAATTCAACTTTAAAAAGTTCTGTGATGCATGCCACTATAGTATTTCGATATATACACTGCTAAAAATCTATAGTATATAACGTGAATTATTATAGAATTTCAATACTGACAATGTATATTGGAACACCCAATATCATAAATCGACCAAAGAATTATAATATATGCCAACTAAATTAGCAATAAGATCTAATAATATCAAAATCAATATTTTTTTATTCTTAGTTTTTGTCCTAAAGGTAATAGATTAATGGATATTTACAAAACTCATGTTATCTATGTTTAAGCATTGCCAAATATAGGAAAGGTATATACAATGAAATTTCAATATAGTGCTCAGTTTAAATTAGGATAAACAAATACCGGATGTTCGTGGAACTTAGGTATATTATTGTTTGATGTTAGTAATAAGATCTAATGGATTGAATAATCCAAGAATATTTTTACTTATGTAATATGAAGATATAAAAGAAAAAAAATACTGTGTCTAATAAAAGTATTGAAAAATACCACAATGTCTCTTATTTCAACATTCTTCATATTTCTGTTTCTAAGTAAGATGGTTCTTATATAAATAATTTCGACTTTGTCAAAAATAATTTAGTTATACTAATAGAGGTAAATGTATCATTTATTCTTATTACTTTTCATTCATTTTTAGATGTATCTTTTAATATAGCAGAGTTATTGCGTAATCGACCGTCGATTCAAAATTTTCAAGAACACCATCCCGAAGAAGGTCTCTTGGAAGATCTCTTTTTAAATCCGACATCGATTATTGCAAATGATCGTGCGACGATCGGCAATATAATTGATATAGATTTTAAAGCAGAAGATATAAATTATGAACTTTATACCAAGAACAATAAGGAACAACCTGTTTCTCTACGAGTAGGTGATGCTATTCAATTGAAGGATTCACCATTTAATCCTGAGTGGCCTACCAAGATTATTATTCATGGGTGGACAGAGAGCGGAAATGCTTTTTGGCTACACGACATTCGGCGAAATTATCTTAACGTTGGGAATTACAATGTAATTTGTGTAGATTGGTTCGCCGGTTCAACAAAAGAATATCTAACATCCGTCAAACTTACTCATCAGGTGAGTAAAATGCATATTCTGAAGATAGTTGAATCAGTAAACTGATTCAAACTCTAATTTTCTTGTGAAAAAAACACGTGCATGATTGCAAAATTTATACCAATTTAGAATATAATTTAAAAAATGCTTATTTTAAAACATAACGCAAATTATGCTGGAAAAGAAAAAATTTTTTGTTACACGATATATAAATTGTATGCAAACCAGTGAAAATGAAAATAAAATTGGTTTCGCGAAATTACGAGAATTTTTGATTTGATTTTTTAAAGTGCTCTTTAATTTTTTACAATACTTTTTTTGCAAGAATATAATGCACAATCGAAATTCATGTTTTCAGGTGGGAGAATACGTGGCTGCATTTATCGAATTTCTCGGATCAGAAATTCAAGTATCCTTCGATGATATTCACGTTGTAGGACATAGTTTGGGTGCTCATGTAGCCGGACACATCGGTAATTATATGTCGAAGAAGCTTGGTCGAATTACTGGACTTGATCCGGCTGGGCCGGCATTCGAAACGCCTTATCTTAAAGATAAAGAGGAGCGATTGGATGCCGCAGACGCCAATTTCGTGGATGTTATTCACACTTGCGCTGGTAGTTTAGGCTTCCTCAGACCTATTGGCCACGCGGATTTTTATCCGAACGGAGGAACATTTAAGCAACCTGGATGCCCTGTATTTTCATCCCGTACGATGCCAGCATTAAATTTTACAATATTACGCGCATGAGAATATATTGATCTAGCTTGTATTTTTTTAGAGACCTGCAGCCATGGTAGATCGCATCAGTTTTTCACCGAGTCGATCGTGCATCCTGATGGCTTTGTCGCCATGAAATGCTCCAATTGGATGGATTTTCAACTTGGTAAATGCGGCGATAATAATTTCAGCACCGCCGTTATGGGCGAATTTATCAACCCTAACATCCAAGGTATATTTTATCTACAAACCAATGCACAACCACCGTTTGGAAAGGGCAAAATAAAATAAGTAGTAATAGAGCCATTTCTCGATATCTATACTTATGATACCTATATATATATATATATATTTCGTTACAATGATATCGCAAGAAAACGTACAAATGTAGAAAGTACTTATATATATCTTTCTATCTGATATACTTTACGATATAAAATAGGCCATACAAAATAAAAAAATTACGCGTATGGAAATTGCATATATAATAATAGAATATATGTTGCGCGTATCAATTTTATTGTTCAAGCCATTTTAGCAAGCGTCACCTCCCCACTGGACGGTTTCTCGATTTCGTCTCCGAATCGCATACGATATTTTCGACGAACTATATCCCAATCAACGATATTTTGTATCTTCGGAATATTATTTAAAGAAGTTTGACTGGTAGTCGAGTTTGATTGAAGTAAGGAGAAATTAATTCGTTCCTTTGCTGCTCGCGGTAGTGGAAGCATTCTACTATTCTAAAACAAAAAAGAAAAAGAAGATTACGAGATACGAGAAATTCAATTAATAAAAAAAAAGATAAAATATTCTGAAATTGCTTAATAAAACGCCGGCAATCTTCGATCTTTCTTTTTTATTTATGACATATTTTGCAAAATTTTCAAAAAATAATTTTGTACTCATATATAGTTGAATGTATTTTTAAATAAATCTTAATTGATTATAAAAACATTTATAAAGCTTATTCTGCAAAATTCTAAAAAATAATGGATGTTAGAAGTACGTTGAAAGAAAAAAAAAATTTTTTTTCGAAAAATCTGAATACATTATTAAAAATCAATTACTTTCATCAACAAGTTTTTTAAAAATATTTTTATATATTATTATTTCTATTATCTTATTATCTCTATAATATAGAAAAATAAAAATCGATTTTTTTTTTAATTTTATCTTCCTTAACATATGTATAAGAAAACTTATTTAAAAAAAATGTATCTCCTATTTTAATCTATACTATAACATTTTCAAAGCTTATCAAAATCGGAGAAAGAGACTTATAATATTTTTATATTTCGATAAATAGACATAATATTTACGTACAGTAGAAAATTTTGGAAAAATCCTTTGCGCATCGGGTTCCATGTACCCACGCGATCTGCTGATTTTCTGCCTTGCAATACGTTCTTTCACACAAGCGTTCTTAATATATTCTGCCCATGTAGTAACGAGATTTAACGGGAATGGGGCTGTTCTTGTTCTAAAACAAGAATAAGAATAATATTACAGTAAAGGTTTGCAAATTTTAATGAAAGCGCATAAGAAATTGCACAAGTTTTACACGAAAGTTTGATGAAAAAATTATATCGTTCCTTTACTTTAAAAGTGACATAACTAAAAAAATTACGTTTTTTTTAGAAAAGAATTATTTTTTAACTTTAAATAGAAAATTATTGACTAAGTAAATAATATCGGCAAAAAGATTATATTCTTAGAAAATGATCGATCAAATGTCATTTTTGTTATTTTCGTTTCACAATTCTTAAAAAAAATCATCCTTTTTGAATTGTAACGATTTTGTTATTCTACAAAATTACAACAAATTCATAATAATTCATCAAAAGTGACATCAGAAGAACTCGAAATATCATCAACAGTTTATCTTGATTTATCTCTTCTTCTTATCAATAGTTTACCTTAATTTATAAAAGCGTAGCTGCAAAATTCATTTATTGTGTTGAAGATATAAAAATCAGAAATTTAATACTTTTGTGTTCGTAAAGAGATTTTACTCTTTTTTACAATCGTGTTACTTACTTTTGCATCTTACGAATTAGTTTGCTGAGACCGTATTTCCATTCGATATCACTCTGTGATTGAATGTTGTGATATGTGTCAGTCATCATAGCAATTAATAGATTAATCAATACTATGACACTGACGAGCATGTATAATGAGAATGATACCTTGAAACAAAAAACATTTATTAAATTCTAACATATATAAAAAAATAACTTATATAGATAATCATATTATTTATTGAAAAAAATCACCTTGAAAAAATAAACCGTCCACTTTGGCTGCTGGTTCATGTTTAATGAAAAGTTTTCGGTACCTTTTTGGCCGAAAATGGCGAAGAAAAGATTCTCCGTGATTTCGATCGCATTAACTGACACTGTACAGACAGAGAAAAAGAATAATAAGTTAAAAGAATTTCAAAGGTTGTATTTAGTATTATAATCGCTCAATAAGTGGCTAAATAGTATTTAATGTGATTAGATCTAAAGATAAGAACCAATGACATTGAGTGACTACTTAGACGTTTAAGTGATTATAATACAACACATTGTTACGTGAATCCAAATATTGTTATCCATCTATATTTTATTAAAAATCATAGCAGTTGAATTAGTTGTTGTATTCCTACGCTAAAACAGCGGTGTAGTATAATTGAGGCAGAGTGTAACTAATAGTCTAATATTTTAATCATTGCAGTTAAGTAATTGCAAATTCCGGACTACACCACTGCTGATATAAAATGATTTGGTGTTATTCTATTCATTGTTATTCTGATTACAAGCAGAAAAAATCATTTACAGTTCTTGAAATATTAAGAATTGTAGAAGTTCATGCTGATCCTAATCTTCGTTCAAAAATTGATAATCAGAAGGAAAGTCAACGAGCTTTGTAAAACCTAAAACATGCGATGGAATGAGCAGCGTACTTCAAAAGATTTCGATGAGTGAACACTGAATAATAAATTGTAAAGAGATGAATGTCTATATTTGATGTATCAATGAAAAATTTTTTAAACGCATTTACAAATGCAAGATGAATGCGATGAATGTGGCTTGCAATGTGAGAATTGTACTTTGATTCGCTTTTATGCACTTTGCAAAAAATAGAAAAAATAAAAGGAATTGATGAAAACTTATTCTCTGTAAAATTATGAATTCCTAATCTATCAAGAATGGGTTTTAGAATCATTGAATTTCTTTTTTCTATCAGTATTTATGTATTTTATACGTATCTTATAGTTGTGGTAAAATAATCGGAAATTAAAAAGAAATTAATTCCATAGATTACATTAAATTATTTTTTAATTTTGTTTGATTTAAAAATTGTGTGATATTTGCGCGTTGCGAGTGAAAATCCGTAGAGTACAAACTAACAATAATTGTACATCATATTATAACATTCAACAATATAACATATATTATATATAATAGTTACATTGTTAAGAAGAAATTATAACTTTGATGTAATATTATAAGTTGTATTCAACGGAAACAGAAGTGAATTCAAAATGTGAATTCTAAACCAAATTCCGATTTAAAAAATTAAGCATTCGTTATACAGAGAAAAATCTCTTTTATCGAATTCGTTTTAATTTAACTATTCCTTTTTACAGAGTGAGCATTTATAGTGCGTGCCAGTTGAACTTTACAACGTGCGAATAATCGAAAGGCCTGTAGACGCGTTCAATTTCGATTGACGTATCAATGAATGTACGTGCTACACATGAAATTTGTGTATAAATATAATATGTATAATGATGATGTGAGCTTCGAATTATAATATGGCGATATTACGTAGATACACATCCTACAAATATGTGTATCGGGCGCGACGATATATTACACGAAAATATCATGAGCAACATGATGCAGGCATAATGATCGGTGCGTGCATCATTGCAACAGAGACATTACGCAATTGCGCTCTATTGATATAATGTAGGTATATGTAAGTATATCATACATATAATCAAAAACATTCTAGATGGAAAGAGAATTAAGTAATGTTGATGAACTAACCGTCAAACGTGACGTGGAACGATTCCTATGCATACGGGTATTCCCCATGGTAGACTCTAAAACGTGTTATATAGTAATCGATTAGACTATGGATCACAAGGAGCACAGGTTTGCTAACTAACAATAACTGTATAGACGATACAAAGTCGAGCTTAGACGTTTATTTCGAAAATACTGACAAGGTCCTCCGTATACGCCTCGCGGCGATGTATGTACAAATAAATGCAACCGAGCGCATTAATGCGGTGAATCTGCAAAAATAGGAAGAGCTTTGATCTCTTTTTCTTTCTCTCTTTCTTTCTCTTCCGTGAGAGTTATGTGTATTGCCTTCAATATTTCCTCCTTTTATTTCAAGCTCCAAGTCCAAGCCTCGATTTTTCGACACCTGACGAGCCTTCCAAAATCGCCAATGGATTATCTACTGACTCCTTGTTTTCTTCGATCAGTTTCTCCTCGATCTTCTCGCCGTAAAGATCTCTATATTTGCGCCTGACAACTTCCCAGTCGACCACGTTGTCAATCTTGACAGTATTACGGAAGGACAATTGACTGCCGAGAGGACTCAAGTGAGCCACTGATAAAGCGACGCTATCCTTGTGTCCCACCTGTGAGGTCTTCTTTATCTTAGACAGCCATTTGGCTCCCATCCTAGAGCGAGGGGACATGCGGGTGGCACCCATTAGGTGCATCAGAGAGGGTCGTTCTTTCTTTTTGGTCAGGCGTTTCTTACAAAGTTTGACGAAATACGTGATCCACGTGGATAGGAGGTTCAGCGGAGATGGTGCCGTAGTGGTCCTGTTGTATATTGAAAATTCGATCTATTAATGCGATAAATGGTACAGTAAAGGGTGCTTTCATGCGACATGCAACCTATCGTTTCTTTTTTTTTTTACTACACGAAGATATAACATTTTGCTGAAGTATCTAAAAATTTAACTAGATATAGATTTGAAAACAAGATTTGTTGGATCAAAATAATATAATATATAGGAATCTCAGGCATAATGAATAACGAGCAATGCTGTAAAAAGTTTTGACATTCTAGCAACCAGTAGTTTAAACGTCCTACACATTTATTTTATATTT